TGATAATAGTACCTCCCTCACAGACTCACAAAAATTTTAGGGTTGGAAAGGACCTCAGTGGCCATTTAATTCAGCCAATAACTGCTACAACCTCTCTGTCAAGTGATTTTCCAGCCTTGAAGACCCCGACTAACCACTTCCTAGGGTAGCCCAATGCAATTGTGAATAGCTCTAATCTTTGGAAGTTTTTAAGTCTGAATTTATCTATTTTTAACCTTCACTAATTGTTACCAGTTCAGCCCTGCAGCACCTAAAAGCACAAGTCCATTCTCCCTTCCAAACACTTCCCCTAAGTCTTCTTTCCCCAAACCAAACAGCCCCAATTCCTTCAAATGATCCTCCTATGACATGGGCTCGGAGACCCTCACCATCTTGGTTACCCTTTCTCTGGGTGCTCTCCTGATTATTAATAGCCTTCCTAAAATATAGTGCAGCTAAGTGATGGAGGGCTGGGCCTGGAGTCAGGAAGACCTGAGTTTAAATCCGGCCTCAGACACTTACTAGCGGTGTGACCCTGGGCAAGTCCCTTAACCCTGTTTGCCTCAGTTTTCTCATCTGTAAAATGAGCTGGAGAAGGAAATGACAAACCCCTCCAGTATCTTTGCCAAGAAAGCTCCAAATGAGGTCATGAAGAGGTAGACATGATTGAACAACAACAACAAAAATAAAGTATCTAGAATTAAACATAATACTCCAGAATGGAATACAAAAGGACCACCATCTCCTTATTCCTGGAGGCTATGCTTCTCTTAATGTATTTATCTCAAGATCATATTAGTTTTTTGGGTTGCCATAATCATACTATTGACTCACATTGAGTTTGCATTCAACTAATATTTTCAAATCTCTTAGAAGCAAACTGCCTTCACAATCTTGTACTTATGAAGTTTTTTTTTTCTTAACCCAAATTTGACTTTACATTTATTAGCTGTGCGTCCATGGTCAACAGGAAGTATGGTGTATTGGATAGAGTTGAAATCTAGGAGACCTGAGTTCATGTCTTAGATACTTTCTAGCCGTGTAACCTTAAGCAAGTCGCTCAATCTATCTGGGCCTCACTTACCTCAAGTGTTAAAAGATGGGGCTTTATTTGATGACCTCTAAAGCAGGGGTGTATTAGCAGATGTTTAACAACCAGACTCTCTGGGGGGAAAATCTATGCACACACTTTTAAATTTAGTCTCCGTTATTTATACTTTCTTAAGTCTAGACAATAATTTTTTTTAAATCAATCCCTGATTTATAGTGATTGTAATTTTCTGAAGTGGAAAGAGTCGTACTGAAAATTTAGCAACCTCTTACAAAGGATCTAAGACATCTCCAAAATTCTCATGATGGAAAATGCTATTCACATCCAGAGAAAGAACTATGCAGTCTGAATGCAGATCAAAGCTCACTATTTGCTCTTTTCTTTTCCTTCTGTTTTGTTTTGTTCTTCTTTCTTGTGGTTCCTCCTATTGGTTCTAATTCTTCTTTACAACATGACTAATGTGAAAATATGTTTAATAGGAATATATATGTATAGCCTATATCAGATTGTATAGCATCTTGGGGAGGGAGATGGGGAAGGAGGGGAAGAAAATTTAAAACTCAAAAACTTATGAAAGTGAATGTTGAAAACTAAAAATAAATGAATTAATTAAAAAAAACAATCTCTTGTAAGGAGGTTAGAGCAGCCTCCAACACATCTCTGCTCCAAAGCCCCTTCCTGATCTAAAATCCATGATTCTTTGAAGTCACTTAATCTCACTGGGCCTTAGGAATAGGGGTTTTCTTTTTAACCTATAAAAAGTAATTTAATAGGTACTCCAATGTAGCTGAAACCATGTGGTTAGGTAGTTAGCCCTTGAAAAGTTCAATTCCATATATGTAAAAAGTTTTGCCATTAAAAAAATCTTGTCTGATAAAAACAAGGCCTCCAAGGACTCTGTATCTTCCAATTTTCAGGTTTTCAAGGTGATTAAAAATATCATTTATGTGTATTCCACACAGATCACTCTCTACTAGCTGAGAAGTGTGGGCAGCATACTCGTTGTTCAGTCATTTTTTCAGTCGTGTCTGACTTTTCACGATCCCATTTAGGGTTTTCTTGGCAAAGATACTAGAGTGGTTTGCCATTTCCTTCTCCAGCTCATTTTATAGATGAGGAAATTGAGGCAGAGAAGGTGACGTGACTTGCCCAGGGTCACACAGTGAGGAAGTGTCTGAGGCCAGATTTGAACTCAGGAAGATGAGTCTTCCTGACTCCAGAGCCAGAACTCTATCCACTGCACCACCCAGCTGCCTGAGCAGCACATGACACAGAGGTAAACTGCCATTCATTTCTGACATTAAGTTAGCTTTAAGCTTGTTGGCTATTCTAGTGACTGGAGGCAATTTGGAATCTGATCCCTGGAAAGAATTCACAGGATTTACTATCCATTCCCGACATTTTGTCTATAGTGAGAGGTCGGGGCACAGGTTTACTAATCCAAGGGTATCTTAAAGCCTGATTTGGGGTCAAGAGGATAGAAGGGTCCCAATGAAGACATCATTTCAAGAATTCTATAAACATTCATTTAGTGCAGTTGCCCAGTCTTTGCTGCCTGGGGGACCTCACCTCTTACCTTGGACTGCCCTCCCATCCTGTTTAGTCAACCCAAAAAACTAATGTGATCTTGAGCTAAATACATTAAGCGAAACATAGCCTCCAGGAATAAAGAGATGGCAGTCCTTTTGTATTCCATTCTGGAGTATTATGTTTAATTCTAGATACTTTATTTTTGTTGTGGTGGTGGTTGTTCAATCATGTCTACCTCTTCATGACCTCATTTGGAGTTTTCTTGGCAAAGATACTGGAGGGGTTTGCCATTTCCTTCTCCAGCTCATTTTACAGATGAGGAAACTGAGGTGAACAGGGTTAAGTCAGTACAATATCAGGGCAGGCCCTTGGAGCTGATAACGTACTCAGCACACTTAGCTTGCTTAAGAAGTTTTGGAGAGGGCATCCCTAGAAGCTCCATTATATATGCTAATTAGTCTCCCTCATCCTCTCCAGGGAAGAAAGCTATCCAGTCAAAAGTTCTGAGAGAATGCAGCCAAAACTCCAGACATCAATAGGTGTACTATAGCAACTTCCCCAAGATGATGTCTGGTGCTCTGTAGAAACAAGGATGTATGCGTAGAGTTTCTGGTACTCAAAACAGCTGGACCCAAAGTCAATAAACTTGGTTACACTGCAGCCATACTGTTTTAGAAAAAAGTTTTCTGGCTTCAGGTCACAATGAATGATCTTGTTTTTGTGTAGAGCATCCAGGGATTGCAAGATAGAGTGAGCAAATTTGTGCACCTGCTGGACAGTGAACCCCGAACCTTGTGCTTTTTGATTAGCTCATCAAGGTCTAAGCTTAGCAGTCCAAAGGCTGTACAGACTTGGTTCTGGAAGGTAAAGCTATCTAGCATGTGCATAACTTTCATGCTGCCTGTTTTACCCTGTTTCTTAATTTTCTCGGTTGCTCGTCGATGAAAGCACTTTTCATTGTGAACCATCTTCAGGGTGACAAACTGATGAAGTTTGTGACTGTAGACTAGAGCAACCTGCCCAAAGCTGCTTTTGCAAATGATTTTCAGTACCTCACATGCATATGTCAAGAGGTCTCAGGGTACATAAATATAGCTCCCCTCAGTAGCATCATAGCTCTCATTGTTGGAGCCACCAATAATGCCTTGGCATTTGGACCCACAAGATAAAGTGAAGGATAATTAATGATTTCTAGCTTCTCATAAGGAGTCAGTTGACACTTACACTGCTCTAGAACTTGAGGGGGCAGATATACCACTTTCAGTGCTTTGGATGAATTATTAGATATGCCAGTGTTCAAACCATCTGAACTTTAACCCTGAGAAATGGTAGGAGAACACTTTTCAGAGAAATTGGCTCCTGTGGACTGAAGAGTATTGGACCTCCTATTGCCAAATTCCTGAAACAGCTGTTCTACCTTAATGTCAACTCCATTTGGGATTGGTTGAGTGTGATCTTTTGTTGTTGGCAATTCAGTAATAATATTGAAGGCAAAAGGAAAGGGGGATGGCAGAGGATGAGATGGAGAGAGAGTGTTATGGAAACAATGAACACAAACTTGGACAGTCTTCAAGAGAGTGGAAGATAAAAGGACCTGGCACGCTACGGTCCATGGGGTCGGGAAGAGTTGGACATGACTAAACAACTGAAAAATAACAACGATATAATCTTCTGGAGAGAGGTGGTTAAGAGGGGTCACAGACTATATTTGTGCCAAATGGACATTTGGTTTCACCCAGTATCACGAAGATATTATACACGCCATCCCCCCCACCTCTACAACTCCTGGGCCAGGGTCATACTGGTCCAGCATCCTTCCTCCTGGGAACCTTGGGCAGCGCCACTGAACTTGGTACCTGCGATCTCTCCATAGTGGGGGACCAGGATGTCTGAGAAGAGCCGCCTTAGATCCCCAGCAGTGGCAGGGCTGGTGTGGGGGCCTGGCCCCACAATCAGGGGTTCTTAACCTGGGGTCCATGAAATTGTTTTTTTAAGTATCTTGATAACTATATTTCAATATAATTAGTTTCCTTTGTCATCCTATACATTTGATTTTATGAATTTAAAATCATTATTTTGAGAAGGGGTCCGTAGCCTTCATCAGACCACCAAAGGGTTCCACGACACGCAAAAAAGCTACGAACCCCTGGGATTTCTAAGGTTTCCTCCCACTTTAACATCCTATGATCTTCTGAATGACTCTCCCCTTCCTACCCACTTGAGGCACTCAACACTATTTTGTTCCCAAAGGGTAGGGTTCTCATGCGTGTGCAGTTTAGGGCATAACAGAATCAGAAACAATTCCCTTTAATTCCAACTCGAGAGAAAAGAATTCTATTCCTCTGCCAGATCAATGACTAACTCTCCAAGAAAGCACTGGAGAAGGGGAGACAGAAGGTGGGAATGGGGGTATAGGGGAGATAAAGTTCTATCAACTCACTTGTAATTGCCTCGTCTGGAGGCAATGTGAAGAGGTAACAACCCGTCCTTATTGGTTTTGTTCGCATCCGCTCCCTGAGACAAGAGGAACTCCACCACGTCTTCGTGGTCATTTTTACAAGCTTCATAGAGGGCTGAGGCATTGTCACTGGCCTGAGTATTAATGTCCGCACCTGCCCAAGAACAAAAGGATTGGTCTAGTGCTCTGAAGACCGTGGCAAAATTGGGGAGGAGGCAAAAGTCTTTTTTGGGTTGCTGCTTCCTGATCTTTCCTCTTCTTTCAGTATCTTTTTCTCCCTGACAAGTTCCCAATGTTTCCCTATTCTCCCAGGTCCCTCCCATCTAAGAGGAAAGTACATCTGATGAACACACGTACGTTACAGTACTGGTAATCTAAGACTCCACATTCCCATTGCACTGGAAGTCCCTGTGGGATGCTGGCCTGTGGGAACCAGGAGAAGTACACTGAAGTTGAACCCACAGAGCTGAGGTTCAAAGCACAGTTCTGTTTAGCATCAGCTTTAGTTCCTCACTGTCATTCATCCCACATATGCAATCAATTGCCTAATCTTATTGTTTCAGATAAGTTCCCTTGACTCAAATAGTTACTATCTTGGTTGAGACTTTTGAGTCTTATCCCCTGGACTATTTAGTTAGTTAGTTAGTTTTGGAGGTAAGCAGGATTAAGTGACTTGCTCAGGGTCACTTAGCTAGTAAGTGTCTGAGGCTGAATTTGAACTCAGGTCCTCCTGACTCAACAGCCAGTATTCTATCCACTGCACCACCAAGGTGCCCCTATCACCTGGACTGTTGCAATAACCTCTTAAATGATCTCCCTGCTTTGAGTCCCCCCCCCCCCCCCCGCTCCAATCTCCACTCAGTTGCCAAAGTGATTTTTTTCTAGAGTGTAGATCTGAGCATGTCATCCTTCTACTCAATAAATCCAGTGGTTTTCTATTACCTGTGGAATCAAATATAAAGTTCTTTGACATTTAAGGCACGTCACAACATAGCCCCTTCCACATATTCTGTGATCAAGTCCACTCACTCTTTCTAGCATACACATTCTATCTCTTCTCTCTGAACCTTTTTAATAGCTGTCCCCTATACCTAGGATGGGCAGCTAGGTGTTGCAGTGGATAGAGCCCTGGGCCAGGAGTCAGGAAGACCTGAGTTCAAATATGGTCTCAGATACATACTAGCTGTGTGACCCTGGAGAAGTCATTTCCCTATTTGCCTCAGTTTTCTTATCTGTAAAATGAGCTGGAGAAGGAAATGGCAAACACCTCCAGCATCTTTGCCAAGAAAACCCCAAATGGGGTCACAGAGAATTGGACACAACTAAAGTGACTGGACAACAACATAATTAATAGACACTTAACAAATACTTATTGAATTGAATTGAATTCTAACTTTAAAACTCAAAACATAATGTTAAAGCTCTCTATAAATTCCCCTTAAAAACTTCATCCTGGAGGCATCTAGGTGGCGCAGTAGATAGAGCACTGGACCTGGAGTCAGGAGGACCTGAGTTCAAATGTGACCTCAGACACTTTACACTTACCAGCTGTATGACCCCAGGCAAGTCACTTAATCCCATTGCCTAGCCAAAAAACAAAAAACAAAAACAAAAAAGCAAAAACTTCATCCTGGTCAGACAAGCTGTTCACTCAAGAAAAACACTTTTATTTATAAATGAACATATGATATGAAGGTATGGGAAGGAGGGGAGAAGGAATGCACATAGGATCAACAGGATGTATGTCTGTAACATACCTGACTTTTGACATCATCTAATATGTATCTCTGTCCTTCACAATCCCATCTCCTTAGCTCTAGAGACCCACTCCTGGCTTCTGCCTCCAGATGGCCAGTACATATTTGCCCTAAACCAGTGAACAAATCTCTCTGCTCTGCTCAGATGTTTGCTAAATGCATCAGATGTTTATCTGAGCACAAAACCTGCCTGCCAACTTTTGCATTCCCTTGACCCAAATGCCCAGGCCATGTTTGGCAATTTTAAAATGTCATAGCTAGAAATAGTATGGGGATGGCATTGAGCAAAGAAGTCTATTTTATTAAGAAGGAAAAACATAGAATTGATGATTCATGAACTAGTGGACTGGAAAACTAACCTCTGAGAATTCATTTGTGCCTTTGTCAAGGTTTTATTTTGCTTTGTTTTTCCACCATTGGAACTGTAGAACCCTGAACTCAAGAATTCAGGAAATCTAGGTTCAAATCTCAGCTCCACCACTTACTAGTTACATGAACTGGAACAAGTTCCATAGTGTTCCTAAAATTTAATTTCCTCATCTGTAAAACCTAGTTGTCAGTTTCTTTCTCATCTTCCAAGATTCTTAGGATCATAGACTTTAGAACAATTAGGACCTAACAAATCTAGTCCACTAAAGTAGTTTGGATAAAGCACAGTCCTTGTTCTCACGAAGGTTACATTCTAATAGCACTAGATTTCTTTTGACTTAACTTTATTACATTTGTTCAGTCGTATTTCAGTTGTGTCCAACACTCTGTGACTCCATTTGGGGTTTTCTTGGCAAAGATACTGGAGTGGTTGGCCATTTTCCTTCTCCAACTCCTCTGACAGATGAGGAAACTGAGGGTAACAGGGTAAAGTGACTTGCCCAGGGTCACACAGCTATTAAATGTCTAAGAACAAATTTGAATTCAGTCTTCTTGACTCCAGGCCCAGCACTCTATCCACTGCACCACTTAGCTGCCCAACACAATTACATACATATATAAAAATGAGTGCAACTGGGTTTTGTACTGATTGTCCTTTCTGGTGGGGAAAACATTTTCAAACCTAACTATAAGCTCTAGGAACTAGAGTCTTGAAAAGATAGCACTTTCCCCCCATCCTGGGAGAGACTGAATATATCACAAAATTTGAGCCAAGGCTTTCTGTCATGGCCAAGAAGTTCTTCAGCTAGACTGCAGCAGAAGAGGTTCAGGTTTTAGAATGGAATGAAGTTTGATAGCAGGTGTTTTGAATGGAAATTAACAATGGAGTATTGATACTGGTAGAGCTTTCCTGTGCACTATTTTACCTGTTAAAACTATGGGGTCGAGGTGAGGACTGGAAAAGATGACTGAATGTATTGACTATCAACTGTGACCTCTCTTTGAGAGCTGTGGAAAAGCTGCAAAAGGTTGAACTCCCCCAACTTGCTAGCAGGTCTATAATTTTCTCTATTTCTTCCACCTGTTTCTATTTCCTGATTTTTTTTTTGTTTCATATTGAAACTATAATTGATCATTACTTTACTGTGATAAAGGGAAGAGTGAAATGGAAGAAGCTAGTGGAGAGATGGAAATGCACAGAATTCAAACAGGATAGTTGAAGTCTGTACCTTGGTTCAGAAGAGCTAGGGTCATCCTAGCTCGAGGACTCTGGGATAAAAGGAAAAGAAATCTTATGGGCTTGATTATTAATAACTTTTTATAAACTTCCCAAAACACTGAACCAAAATGAATCTGGAATTTTTACTTGTTTTTCCCTAGGCTGAAGAACAAAACAGAACAACAACAAAAAAAAACCCAAGTCATTATTGAACTTGATTCAGATGTGGCTGAGAATGCAGGCACTTCACGAAATCTACTGTCCCTCATCAAGGGGTGGGACAGCGGTATAGATCAAAGGAGAGTCATCCCTCCTTAGCTACCTAGTGGAAAGAGAAAGGTGTGATCTGGAAAGAATCTGCCCAGATCACTTACCTAGGTCTCTTAATTTCATTTTTGCTTTCTACTCTAAACCTCCAAACCTTACCAGATAGCAACACCTGCCGCTTACAAAAGCTTTGAAAGGTTGGTTTTTTTTTGTTACTTCCAAGAAGGAAGGAAATGAACATTAATTAAGCACCTACTACGTGCCAGGCACTGTGCAAAGTACTTTATAAACGTTATCTCATTTGATCCTCACAACTATCATGGGAGGTAGGTGCTATGTTTATCCCCATTTCACAGCTGAGGAAACTCGGGCATTCAGAGGTAAAGTGACTAGCCCAGGGTGACTTAGCTAGTAAGAGTGTGAGTTCAAATTTGAACTCAGATCTTCCTGACTCCAGACCCAACACTCTATCCAATGCACCACCTAGCCTCCTTCTAAGTCTTGAATTCTATGACTCAAAGATATCTTCCAGCTCTAACTTTCTCTGTCCTAATGTCTCTCTTATTTCTGAAATGCTTTGATTCCCTTATTTAGGGTCACTCACCATGCTTAGCCAGAAATCTCAGTGCCTCCAGCTGTCCACTCTGGGCAGCCACAAATAAAGGGGTAATGCCGTATGCATTCTTGGATTCCACCTTGGCACCTCCGCTCACCAGAATTTCCATGACTTCCAAGTCATTCCGGGCCACAGATTCATGGAGAGCAGTCCAGCCACGGTTGCATCGATGGTTGGTATCAGCATTGTACTGCACCAGCATCCTGACAGCTTCCACATTCTTCCGCTCACAAGCTGCACCAGGAAAAATGTAAATCACTGAGCAGAGTGATGAACCTGGGAGAGGGGTCTGTCACCTAAAAACAATCTGCTGGGAAAGGATTAGTCCACTGAAGAAATGAGTTTCCTAGAAGGTGGCTTGAGGTCACTGGAGGTTCATGAAGGTCCTCCCAGTGATTTGTAGGATAATCTCTAATAATCTTAATGTTTATATTCTAATACTATCTATAATTATAGGACCTGGGAACCCCTGGCTTCTGGGCTAGATCTAGCCATGGGATTAGTTTCATCCTGTTAACACATTTTCTCAAATTAAAAACATTTATTAAGCACTTAATGTGTGAAGAGCACTGTTCTATGTACTAAGATATTTTGGATAAGGAGATTTGGATAAGGAGAAGGATATTTTGGATAAGACACTCTCCTTGCCCTCATTAAGGCTGTAATCTAGTAGAACTAAGTATCTATGGAGCATCCCTACCCCTACCATTAAGGATACCTAACACAATTATGAGTTTAACTAAAATAGAAGCCCTAAAAAAGATTTATTCTATTTAATTCAATAAACATACTATTGCTAATTAAATCCTTTTATTTGTAGTATTCACATGATCAGATTTTATGAGATATTTAATGGGTATATATTGTGCATAAAGAAGTCAAGGTCCTAGGATCAGCATTCCCAGAAGCATGACACTGACTAGTTTATGATCTACTTGGGAAGGCGGATGTAAATGTATGAAAAAAAAAGTAACAATGAAAGAAGTTTTTTTAATAATACTTGAAAAAATGTTCAGGAGAAATCATGAAAAAGTGCATGATTATTAAAGTATGATGTAGACAGGAAATGCAAAGAATTCAGAGAACAACTGTGACATAATAAGCATCACAAACACTCCATTTCTTGATTGTGTATTTTCAATGGCTGTCCCCCATGCCTAAAACCCTCTCTCATCTCTGCCTCCAGGCTTCTTGGGCTCCTTCAAGACTCAGCTAACATCCTGCCTTCTGCAAGAAACCTTTCACTCTATCTCTCAACACTAATGCCTCTTCTCTGTTGATTATCTGCAATTTACCCTGTGTATGGTTCATAAATACTTGTTTTCATGTTCTCCCATATTAGATTGTAAGCCCCTTGAGGACAGGAATTGGTTTTTTTTCCCCTTTCATTATAATCTCCAGGTGTTAATATTATACTATAATAATATTATATTCCCAAGATTTAATAAACACTTATTGACTTTGAGGAGGAGGGCAGGACTTAAATTGGACCTCGAATAATGGGTAATTTTGGACCGGCTGCAAGAACAGAATATTGACCCAAGAATCAGAAGATCCCGATTTTGACATTAACTCACTCTGTGACATTGGGTGAGGCACTTCTCCTCTGGACCTGAGTTTCTCCCTTCGCAAAATGAGGTTACACAAGATGACTTCTGGTGTCCCTCCCAGCTCTAATACTCTACAATTCCAGAAGGCGGAGGAGGTGGGAGAGGAGGCAAAGTTACCAGCATCCTTGATTTTCACCATCTTCCGCCTATACGACCAGAAGGAATGTCTTGTTCTTCCTAGAAGTAGTTAGGCAGTGCAGTGGATAGAATGCTGGGCTTGGAAGACCTAAGTTCAAATCTGACTAGCTGTGTGACCCTGGGCAAGTCACCTGACTTCTCTTGCTTCCATTTCCTGCAAAATGAGTATAATAATAGCACCTCCCTCCGCGGGTTATTGCAAGGATCAAATGGGATCATATCTGTGAAGCACTTAACACAGCACCTGGCGTAGTAGATGATTAACAAATCCCTATTTCCTCCCTTCCTCTGAGCATTGCAAAATCCTAAATTTAGAGCTGGAGGGACCTCAGAGGAAACCTAATCCCAAACCCTTCGTTTTAAAGATCAGCAGTTAAGGCTCAGAGATCAAGGGATTTCCTCAGAATCACGTATCTAGTGAGATGGGATTTGAACCCAGGTTCATGATGCTTCTATTGTGTTTACTTGTTTCCCTGTTTTATCACCCTAATTAGAAAATTTTCTTTGAGTCTTCCCTACCACCTTATACAGAACACAGCCATTTAATGAATGTCTTAGGAATTAATGGATAAATAAATGAGCGAATGAACCAAAGGCATGCTGTACAATAGTATAACTCAATTTCTTTAGGGCATTTGGCAGATTGTGACCAAAATATTAATTAGTATACTTGCGAACAGGGAGAAGAAATGTGGGCTGGGTTCATAGGTAGGTGCACAATATAAACAAATGGGACTGATGATTTCAACCTGAAAGAATATCTCTAATGGCATGTTGCAGGCATCCCTCCATAGCCTTATTCTATCCAACATTTGTATCAATGATTTGGATGTAAATAGCATAGGCCTGAACCTTAGAAAATAATAGCAGCTATCATTATATGCAGTAATGTTGATGCTAATAACTGATATCAATATGATTAGCTGTTACAATTAATGTTGTTAGTCACGTTGTCATTATTTTAAGAACCAATGTTAATATTACCTAGACTAGATTGATATCTTTTATATTGTTGGATGATTATTAATGAATATTAATATTTTAATAGTATATTATTTTATAAAATAGCTTAGAAATAAAATAATACATGCTCAATGGCTTTGTATGACTGGCTAGAGTTGACAAGATGAAATTCAATAAGGATAAAATTAAAGGCCTGCACTTGGGCTTCAAAAATCCAACTTCAGGATGGGGAACGCCAGGCTGGGCACTGAAATGTTAATAGAAGTAAACAGTGTAGCTTTGAAGCCAAAAAAGTAAAGTGATCATGCCCTGCATTAACAGATGTATAGTGTACAAAATGAGGAAGGTGAGATGGCATCTGGAGGATTGTGTTCATTTCTGGTCATCAGATGTTAGCGTGTTCATTGTCAGGCTATGACATGTCCAGAGGAGCATGACCAGGATGGTAAAGGGTCTCAAAACGATGATGGCACTTGAATAATAATTGCCGGAGTGCTTTAAGGTTTGCCAAGCCCTTCACTTGTTATCTCATTTCTTCTTCACAACAAAGTTGTGTTAGGTGTAGGAATTAACCCCATTTTACAGATAAGGAGACTGAGGCTGAGAAAGTTTAAATAACTTGCCCTGGTTCGTACAGCTTAGTAAGTGTACAAGGCTGAATTTGAACTCAGGTCTTCCTGAATCCAAGTCTAACAACTTAGCTAATGTACCACCTAGCTGCTGAATGTTTAACTTGAAAACTTAGTATAACATGGTAGCTATCTACAGGACCAATACTGTTAGGAAAAGGATTATATTTGCTCAGTGGGGCTTCAGAGGAGGCAGTAGAATCAATGGGTAGAAAATTTCTAGGATGCAAAATTTAGCTCAAACTGTCATTCAAAACAGCTTGATCATAGAACTGAAGTGTTTTGTAAGATAGTGAGCTGCCTGTCATTGGAAGTTTCTCTGCAAAGACTGGATGACCACTTGGGGGAGATGTTGCAAAAGGAATTCCTAGATCCCTGCATGTGGAAGTCAATTATACCTGAGAAGTTTAGGATGTATTTAAACAATGACAGTCATGATTAAACCAAGTCTTTTCTTTGAAGGGTTATTTGACAGTTTCATTTCTGGGGTGTCCGTCACAACATCACTTTCATTGCTTTCTAGTACTTTAGGTACTCACCTTTATAGAGTGGGGTCTCTCGCGACTTGTTAGAAATATCGGGTTCAGCTCCACATTGTAAAAGTGTAAGTAAGCAATCGAGGTTTCCTCTACAGGTTGCTATGTAAAGGGCTGTTTCCTCCTGAAGGGTGCGTTGATCAATAACACCAGGATATGCTAGAGGAAAGACCATTTGAAAGATCATTGTTAATAAACTCACCCAAGGTGGCACAGTAGGTAGAGCACTGGGTTTGGAACCAGGAGGACTCAACTTCCTAAGTTCAAATCTGGCCTTAGACATTTATTAGCTGTGTGATCCTGGGCAAGTCACTTAACTCTCTTTGCCTAGTTTCCTCATCTGTAAAATGAGCTGGAGAACAAAATGGTAAACTACTCCAACATATTTTTCAAGAAGACTCCAAATAGTGTCATAAAGAATTGATCATGACTGAACAACAAGAACACACATATACATTTATAGGATGTCCAAAAATCTTAGTGCAGCTTTAAGCTTTACTAACTTTAAACTGCACTAAGAATTTTGGGACACCCAGAATTAAACGTTTAGAAAGCAGCCCACACCACTTATCAATGAATGGCTTGGATTTCAAGGAAGAACATTTATGAAATTACATGAAGGGAACCAACATATTGTATTAATATTTGTCTAATGCTTCTAACTGTCCAAATGTTTTAATATAGATTGTTAATGTTGTCTCATACTAGACCTCAGAGATAGATAAAGCAGTTACCCTGAATTTGACAAATGAGAGAACTGAAGCCCAGAGATTTAATAATGATAACTCACATCTCTAAAGCAGAGTTATCTAGGTGGCAAAATGGATAAAGCACTGGGCCTTGAATTAAGAAGAACTAAGCCCAAATTAAGCCTCAGATATTAATGAGTTGCATGACCTTGGGCAAGTCACTTAACCTCTAGCTGCCTCAGTTTCCTCAACTGTAAAATGAGGATATAAATAATACCTGCTTCCCAGAATAGTTGCAAGAATCAGAGGAGATAATAATTATAAAGCACCTGGCACTCAGCAGGCACTTAATGAATGCTTATTTGCTTCCTTCCTAAAATAAGACATGGTGTAGTGAGAGAGGGAGGCCCCTTAAAGTCAGAAAGACTTGTGTTTAAGTCTCCTGACCACCTACTGACTGATTGTGGGCAGGTCATTCAATCCATTAATGCTCTAAGATGTGGGTTCTTCACCCGGAGCCTAGAGGAGGTGTGTGAAGTTGGATGAGAAAAAAAGTCCAACTTTATTTTCACAAACCTCTAACTGAAATTTTGTATTTCCCTCAATTTAAAAAATAGCTTAATTTAAAAAAGACATGCCAAGTCTCCCTATCTCCCCCAGGTTAGAAGCACAGGAAGATCCAGCGACCAGTCAGTCCCTCTACTGATTGAAAGGGGAGCTTTGATCCACTGTACTTCCAGCCAGGGTCAGTTTGTCCCTCCTTTGGCAACCTGGTGTCTTCACCCTCCCCAGGCTCACCACACTAATGACAAACTTAGTGCTGATACCATATTGGCATGACTCACTGTAGCTCACATCTCCCAAGCTCCAAAGATCCAACCACCTCAGTTTCTCTAGTGGTTGGCATTACAGGAACCACACTTGATTTAATTAATTGAAAAAACATTATTCTGAGAAGGGATCCATAGACAAATGGATCAAAAGGGTCCATGATAACCCAAAAAGTTAAGAACCCACACTCCAAGATTACAAACTGCAGAGAAAGTGCCCACTTACATTGGCAGAGTGAGTTCTTTCACATATGAATTCCACACATACATATATATATATATATTTCATATATATGTGTGTGTGTGTATAGTGAGAAAGTAATAAATAAATGTTAATTTGCATTTGCTGTGTATCAGATGTCTTTATGTATTTTGTTCAGTAGTGTCCAACTCTTAGTGACCCCATTTGGGTTTTCTTGGCAAAGACACTGGAGCAGTTTGCTAGTTTCTTCTCCAGTTCATTTTCCAGATAAAGAAACTGAGGCAAAGAGAGTTAAGTGACTTGCCCAGGGTCACACAGCTAGTAAGTATCTGAGGTCATAGTTGAAGACCATCATGAAGGTGAGTCTTTCTGATTCCAAGTCCAATTCTCTATCTACTATACCACCTAGCTGGCCCTTCTTTTTATGTGTGTATATGCATGTATGTGTGTGTATGCATATGAATATATGTATATATGTATGTATGTATGTGTATACACATACATACACAAATATAGTAGGATTATGAAAAGAGACAGACTTTCTACATGTCTTTACATAGTCCAACCTTTCTTTTTCTTCCTTCCGTTTTCTGCTGTCTTCCCACATCCTTATCTAATGCAGATTTACCATTCTTTTTCAACTCACCTTTCTGCAATATTTTCAGACAACCCAACTGGCCATAATAAGCAGCTTCATGCAGAGGGAGCCATCCATCCTTGTTGGGCTCGGAGAGGTTTTTGCCTGACTGGATCATGGAAGTTAAGGCATTCTCATCACCCTCCTTAATGGCCTTCACCACAGGATCTATGACTCTTTAAGAATAAGGAGAGCTCATTAAGGTGACTTGCCTCAATAGTTAGTCAATCAGTCAAATAAGCATTTATTATGCACCTCTTGCGATCAGGCACTGTGTGAGGAATACAAAGAAAAGCAAAAAAAAAAAAAAACAGTCCCTGCTCTCAAGGAGTTCACAGCCTAATTAGGGAGATAATATGCAAACAACTATGCACAAAGAAGCTATATCCATGATAAATTGATGATAATTAACAGAGGGAAGGCATTAGGATAAAGGGAGATCAGGAAAGCCTTGTTGTCGATGGTGAGATTTTAGCTGGAATTTGAAGGAAAACAGGAAGAGCAGGAGGTGAAGATGAAGAGAAAGAGAATTCCAGGTATGGGGGACAGCCAGTGAAAATTTCCAGAGTCAGGAGATGGAGTTTTTTATACAAAAAAACAAGAAAGAATTGTACATGGTGGGACTGAGTGGGGGAATAAGGTATAAGAGTACTGGAAAAGTAAGAAAGACCCAGGTTATGAAGGGCTTTGAACACTAAACAATGTATTTTATATTTGATCTTGGAGGTAACAGAATATTTACTTAGTATTTACTTCACTGGGGGTGTGGGCAGTAATATGGTCAGACCTGCACTTTAGGAAGGTCAGTTTGACAGCCGAGTAGAGGATGGATGGGAGTGAGGAAGCATTTCAACAGTCAAGGCATGAGCAATGAGGGCCTGTGCCAGTGTGGTGGCAGTGTCAGAAGAAAGACAAGGATATTGCAGATGGAAAGGTACCTAGAATCACTAACTATAAAGTCAACAAGCTTTATTACAGGGGTTCTTAACCTTTTTTGTGTCCAGGAAACCCTTTGGCAATCTGATGAAGCTTATGAACCCCTTTTCAGAATATTGTTTTTAAATGCATAGAACAAAAGTATAACAGATAATAATATATAAAATATAAAATAAAATACATAAGATTATGAAGGAAACTATATTGAAATATAGTTATCAAAAATATTTTTTAAAATTTGGGACCCTGAATTAAGAACTCCTGCTTTATTAAGTGCCTAGTATGTGCCAGGCACTCACTGTGCGCACCAGATATATACAATGCAAAAGTAAGACTGTCCCTGACATTAACATAATGTTAAAGGTGGGAAAAGGCCTTAGAACACAGAACAAAAAATGTTAGAGTTAGAAGAGTCCTTATGGAACATAAAATGTTAAAGTAGAAAAGACCTTGGACATTATCCTGCCTAACTCCCTCTTTTAACATAGAAATAAACTGATTTCCTTTTTGTCGTTCAGTCATTCAGTGATGGCTGACCCATGGACCATAGCACACCTGGCCCTTCTATCCTCCACTATCCCCCGAAGTCTGTCCAAGCTCGTGTTTGTGGCTTCCATGACACTATTTATCCATCTTATCCTCTGTCATCCCCTTCTCCTGTTGCCTTCAATCTTTCCCAACATCAGGGTCTTTTCAATCAACAAGTATTTATTAAGCACCTACAATGTGCCAGGCACTGGGGATATAAGTACAAAGAATGAAGTAATCCTTTCTAACAATGTGCTTACATTCTAATGGGGATGTTAAAGATATTACCCAAGGTTCTCTGGCTTAGGGTGAGAGTGTAGATTCAAATCCAGGTCTCATGACTAATAAACCAGTGTTATTTCAAAGAACTGCTTGTTTCTTTGGACCTTCAAGAAGAGTGTAGCATATTTTTTAAAATGATAATTTGGACATTAAAATCAAAATCTGTCTCTACTTCACTCTGAGAAACAAACTGATGGAATGAAATGGTTCTGATCTTGGTGAGACTCAGGGGACTCATGTTCTAAGAAACTCCCAGATGGAGAAACTCCCTCTAAAAATGTAGGTTAGTGCCTCTTCAGCAGTTTAGGAGAGGGTAAGTTATTTGCACAGATTTGTACATCTAGTAGTTGTCACGAGCAGAACCTGAACCCAGGTCTCCCTAGCTTTGAAGCTCGCTCTCTGTCTACCACCAGGCTGCCTTTCATTGAATGTTACAATGTGAGTTATCTGGGAATATTGGAACAGGAAATGCTGCACCTCAGACCATGGTCCTCTTTGAATCACTTGACTACTTTGGCTCTTCCTCTAAGGAATTAATATTGTATGGCTGCTCAGTCTCACCATTCTTACTTTCCATGTACCTTACCTCAAAATGACCAGCAAAAAGCTGGAAGGGACATTAAAACAGCAAATATTTGATCAAAATAAAGAATTCTAAGGCTGGAAGAAACCATTCTTCCCCATTTCAATATTTTTTATATGGTCCCACTTAAAGTACTTAATTCTTTTTGGTTTTTTTCAGTCATTTCAGTCATGTCCAACTCTTCATGACCCCATCCAGGATTTTCTTGAGAAAGATACTGGAATAGTTTGCCATTTCCTTTTCCAGCTCATTTTTACAGATGAGGAATCTGAGGCAGTGTAAAGTGACTTGCCCAGGGTCACACAGTTAATATGTGTCTGAGGCCAGATTTGAGTTCAGGAAGATAAGTCTTCCTGACTCCAGGGCCAGCACTCTATCCAGAGTGCCACCTAGCTACCCTGTCTTACTTGTTGTTTAAATCTGGTAGTCCAATCCCATTATATTATAGATGAAGACCCTGAGGTCCAAAGAGGGGCAGTCACTTGCCAAAGCTCACGCAGCTAGTTAATAGTGGGGTCAGGATGAGAACTTAATTCTTCTGACACTCAGGTAACTGTTCTCCCAACTAGACAAAATTGACATTGATTAGCAATAATATGTTCATCATTTTTGGAAGGCCCTTCAGAATAAATCTTCCAATGTTGCTTATTATAGTTACCTGTGTTTGTGCCTTATACCCTTACTAGATTATGAACTCCATAAGGCCAGAGATCATATCAAATAATTAAATTCAGCAGACATTTATTGAGGGCCTACCATGTGCCAAGTACTATCCAAGGTACTGGGGATACAGAGACATAAAACAAAGCAGTCCATGACTTCAAGGAGTTTATACTCTATCTCATACTTGCATTAAAGTTGAGTATAGAAAGAGAAGATAGGGTCTCCCTGTGAAGGGCTTTTAATAACCAAACAGAGGTGTTTCTATTTTATCTTAGAGGCAGTAGGGCCTTCTTGAACAAGAAAGTAGCATGGTCAGACCTGAGCTTTAGTAATGTCATCTTTATATCTGTGGGCAGTATGGATTGGAGGGGAAAGACTGAAGGCAGAAAAACTAGTTAGGAGACAATAAACCAAGAAAGAAATGATTAGGGCTTGAACCAGGGTGTAGGCTGTGTGAGTAAATGACAGGAATGGATAAGAGAGATGTTATAGAGGTAGAATTGATAAGACTTGGCAGGTGGGGGCAGTTATGAAGAAAACAAGAGAAGGAAAAAAGGAGGATGATTCTGATGCTGCTGAATTATTTCCACAAAGATTCCCACACATGGATGCACAGAATCAGAAATGAAAAGAAACTTAGAGGTCAATTAGTCCAATTCCCCCATTTTACAGAGGAGGAAACTGAGGTTGAGAGAGGTTCAATGACTTGCCCAAAGTCAAAGCTTTAACTGAGGTCTTCTGATTACAAATCCAGAGTACTTTCCACCATATTACAATATCTAGCATAGTCCTCTGCATACAGTTGGCACTTAATAATTAATTAATTGATGCTGATAAAAAGATGTCCTCATTTTATAGATGTAGAAAGTGAGCCACAATGAGGCCAGAGTCAATGGCAGGGCCAGGATTAAAATGAAGACTTCTCAGACTTGTGCTCATAAGCCCATCTGGCTACTTTTTCCTGTTTCAGTCTCTTGGGCTTGTATTAATAGCTTTGCATGCATATGAGATGTGCATAAAATTAAATTTGGATGAGGCCCTGGGGAAACTGAGGCAGGCAAACTAGAAAATGCTCCCACCCACCCACCCTCCTCTACCACAATGAGTTTTGCTTGAATCCTTCATCAGAACATTTCTCAAGTTCAGAAGGACTAAAACCACAATGTACATTTCCCGTTTCCTCTCTTCCCCTCACGCTCCTTCCTTTTGGTTAACCTTGCTGAGTGTGCTGCTGAACTCCAGCTGGGTAGAAAGCAGAAATTCTATGTTAAGAAACAAGCATTTCTCACACACATACACACACACTCTCAGTGCTAGCCAGAAGAAGAAGAAACATCTTTCCCCAGGGTATCCAGTTTGCATGGCCCCTCTCAATCTTGCCATTCTCCCCTCTTCCTTGAGAATGAAACCCAAGAAGGCTGAGAACAGAAAGTTGTCATCTTAGAAGAAGCAGGGTCTGAGAACTCTCCATTCTCATCAATTCTCTCATCATTCTCATCATTGACTCTAGTGAAATTGTCTACATTTGCATCTTAGAACATTGGACCTTGAGTCAGAAAGACCTGAGGTCAAATTCTGTCTCACATACTTGCTTGCTAGGTGACTTTAAGCAAGTTGCTTAATCTCTTTCAAATTCAGTTTCCTCATTAGTAATAATAATAGCCTCTACATCACAGGGTTGTTATGAGAATCAAATGAGATAACATAGGGAAAACACTTTACAAACTTTTTAGAGCTATATAAATACTAGCTGTTATTATTTCTCTCTTTGTAAAATGGGGCATATTTTAGAAGCTTTACTTCTCCAGAATGGTCCTTCCTGGAACCACCCAGATCTCTTTTAGTTAACCAAATGCTAGCATTTTGGAGTAGTTGTTGATTGGAACAGAAGGTAGCTGTTCATTTGGCTTTTTGCTGAATCTTCCCTGAGCTAGGGGGTGTCATTGGCCCTCCTACCTCATTCCAAGGGTCGCTGGGAAAAGTGGGATAGGTACTTCCCCACCTCAGTACTATCCTCAGGAAATCATTGACAAGAAACTGGAAAACTAACAAAGTGAATCAGAATTTCATTTATTCTCCTACCTCCTCTCCCTCTCACTCTCAATCAATTTTGCTTAGTATCATAAAATAATAGAACATTTTAGAGCTGGAAGGGGAGTTACAAGGTAGAACAAAGAGCCATGAGAGTGGAAAGGGCCTTCAGAATCCTAGTACATGGAATGTTGTACCTGGAAGGTATTTTAGAACCACAGATTGGAAAATGTTTTCTCTAGAAGCGATCTTAGAATAACAGAAAGTCAGAGATAGGAAGAGACCTTAAAACAAGGGGGAAAGACTGTCAAAGCTTGGAGGGGTCTTAAAATCATAGAACCATATTATGCTAGAATTGAAAGGGACTTTTAAATTAAAACAGAGCAAGTCAGAATGCAGAACACTGAATGTTGGAGATCACCTACCCACTCATTTTACAGAGGAAATTGAGGTTTAGAGAGAGAGGAAGTGACTCCCTAAGGTCACAAGGTGAGTTACTGGCAGGACAGAGACAAGAACCCAGGGTCTCTCAATTTCCATGTCAGAACTTTTTTTTTTGTTTTTTGCACCATATGGGATTGTTTCTTTTTTCTCCAAAGTACATTTGCATGGGTTGATCAGAAAACATGTAATGGAGCCATATGAGATCCTGTAAGCTGACCTGCCCTGTGGAAGGCTAGAGATGAAGGATTAGAAGCAAGTTGTAAAAATTCACGGAGGAGCAAAACTTTTTGATTCTTGGAAACTAGAATCCTTGTCTACACATTTATTATCTCTGATGCTTATTGATCAATTTTTTTGAAGCAGTAATTCTCTGTAGCCCATCTCTTTAACACCTACAGTCTCTAGGTAACGCTAAATGGCTATGACTGTAGGACCATCACAATTTCCTAACGATCAAAAAAATGACAGGAAAACCAAAGAGTCACACATGGTGGCTGTAAGCCAGCTACAGTATGTCATCAGAGAAGATTAGTATAAAAGACATCATCGAGGACAAAAATGATCAGAAATGTAGTGTTAGAGACAATAGATAGGCTGACCCAGTGCTGCAGTGAGACCCTCCAGAGATGTTAAAAGCACAGAGGAAGGCTTCCATACTGAAAGAATCCTCTGTGGCACAGAAGAATGAACCCTCCATGTGAAATCAAAGGACCTAGATTCAAATCCCACCTCATACCTTTGTGACTTAGGGCAAGTCACTTAACCCCTCTGTATTTCATTTCCTCATTTATAAAAGGTGGAGGTTACACTAAATGGTCTCTGAGATACCATTCCATTCTGTCTACAATCTCATGGCTTTTCAATTCATGAGGGAAAAAAAAAACCGTGGATACAACCCATTCAGGAAGGGAAGGCACAGAAAGATGATGGCTATGGAAGAAACTCCCACTCTAATGAGCTCAGAGAGCCATCTAATTATATCATTGAGTGGCTTTTGGACTTGTGCAGCAGCTAAGATTTAAGAACCATAGCTGTTGTGGGATTTGGGAATCCAGTGGACCTGCTCACCAAGAAGGGAGTTCCCTTTATCCAGAGGAGTTTGAATTGACTATCAATCCATTTCAGACATGGAAATCCTTCCTCCTTTCAAAAGGGAAAAAGTAAGAAAATTTTGAAAGATTAAATATTAATCCAATTTGAGTTAAGAAAAAAGGCATTCCTGCTTGGTAGCTATACCCAGACACACTGGCATTAAATAATACTTTCCTGATTCTAGCATTGCCTTCTTCTGTCTGTGTTTCTCAGTCTCTATTCTTTCTCTGTCTTTCTGTTTCTCATTCATCTTTCTCTCTTGCTGTTCTTCTCATTGCATCTCTCCGCATAACTCGTATTTCTGCCTCTGTCTCTTTCCCTTAACTTATTATTTGTTTCCCTGGATGTGAGGAGCATCTCAATGTATCCAGAGTTTAAAACAGCATGAAGCTAATTCAGTTAGAGTCCTGACAAGTGAATTAGCAAACACACATAAGCAAGGACCTGTTTGCCTTCTCACTGAGTGACTCATGAGTTCTGAGGAATCAGGAGAGACTGGACCTTCTGGTCTAGGTCCAACCCTTGAAATGACTATATGTGCATAAGGGACCACAAGATAGAGGGAGGAAGGAGAGAAGTAGGGGAGGCAGGAATTCCTTCCAAGCCACCTTCCTTACTGCCCTGACATAGCCCCTACCCACCCTCTATGCCACAAATGCCATTTGGGTTAGTTCGGACAGACAACAAGGAGACTGGAAGCCTGGAACAAAGGGATATAGGGAGTCACTTACACAGGCTGGGGGGTCTTGAACAGACTGCCGTTGTATCTTTGCCTGACCCCTTGAAACAAGCCCACATTGGGAGGCGGAGGCTGGGTCCCCGAAGGAGCTGCAGACCTGGAGGGGTGATGGCATGAGTGAAACAAGGAAAAATACTCAGAGTAAGAGAAGCGGGTCATATCCAGGGATTGTTGGAAGCAGGATCAAGGGGAAGATAGAGAGAAAGAGGGAGAGAGGAAGGGGGAGGGGAGGAGAGAGAGAGAGAGAGAGAGAGAGAGAGAGAGAGAGAGAGAGAGAGGCTGACGCTGGGCACTGGGACTTTGAATGAAAGCAGATGGCCACAGCTTGCTCTGGGCTGGACTCAGCTGTTCTCAGCTCTGGATTATTTTTGGCCTTCTGAGGAAGCACCAAGGGATTTGAATGACCATATAAGACAACAATGAGGTTCACACCCCCCCTTGAAAAAAAAAAACAACAACCACACAGAAGGAAGATATGAAGTGACATGATATTCTCCACCTCCAAGGAAGATTTGAAAAAGTGGTTAGAGTGGTTAGCTGCAAGCTGAGGTCATGAAATTGTCCCAGCTTTATGGTGCCTTCAGGGCCAGGTCTCATCTAGGCTGAGAAGTGCCTCTTCCAGGAAATCAAGAGTGCTCAAACCCTTTTCCTCTTCTGTTCTTTGACAACTGAGTTTAATTCAACAAGTTTTTATTAAGCACCTGCTCTGTGTAGGGATCTGGGGCATATAGAGAGTTTGAAACCCTATCCTCATGGTCTCTTCCTGAGTCTTCGAAGTCCCATGGCAAGATATATATAATAGAATAGAAAGAATCCTGCCCTGAGGATCAGGAGGCTTAATTCCAAACCCCAGTTCTTCTGATAAACTAGGGGCTCTTAAACTGGGAGTCCATGAATTTGTTGTTATTATTGTGTTGTTTTTAAAATATATTTTAACAACTGTATTTCAATATAATTTGTTTCCTTGGTACTCCTATGTATTTTATTTTATGCAGTGAAAAACTATACTCTGATACTTAATCATGGTCTTTGCCAGACTGCCAAAGGATTCCATGCCTTTTCCTGTAAAAGGGTTAAGAACCCCTGGATTAAACAGACAGGTAAACTTGGGAAAAGTCACTTCATCTGCCTCACCCTTGGTTTCCATCTATGAAATGAGAAGGTTAGAGGTTAAGGTTAATTCTGACATTTTGTGAATCTATGAATGATATCTGTGATTCCTTATCACATCCTCCACAGTAGCTGGTCCAAACCTTCTACTCCCTCCTCAAGGCCCCTACACCAACCCCTCCCACCACCCTCTCAGTAAAGGACCCCACATCATACTTACATGAGAAAAATCTAAGTAATAGTAGCTAACAATTACGTCTTTGTTGTGTCATTTTTCAGTTGTGTCTGACTCTTCATGACCCCATTTGGGGTTTTCTTGGCAAAGATGCTGGAGTGGTTTGTCATTTCCTTCTCCAGCTCATTTTTCAGATAAGGAATGGAGGCAAAAAGGATTGAGTGACTTGTCCAAGATCATACAGCTAGTAAGTGTCTGAAGCCAGATTTTAACTCATAAAGAGGAGTCTTCCTGACTCTAGGCCTGGTGCTCTATCTATTATGCTACCCAGATGCCCAGCATTTATATAGTTCTTTATAATTGTTACCTCCTTTGATCTTCACAATAATTCTGAAAGGCATTATTATCTCCATTTTACAGATGAAGAAACTGAGACAAATAGAGGTTAATGACTTGCCCAGGGTCATACAAATATCTAAACCAGATTTGAACTCGGGTCTTCCTGACATCAGGACAGGTGGTCTATCTACTGGGCCACTTAGCTGCTCATAAGTACCCACTCTTCTCCCCTATTCTACATCTCAAAACACTTTTACATCATATTTCATTATGTCCTTCTTTACTACAGTCTGTGATGAAGAGGTAGTCCTTTTTCCTTGGCAGAGCCAATCTCTTTACCCATGCCCTTGACTCATATATTCCTGTCTCCTCAGGAAGTTTGCCCCCTTTGATTATCCTTTCTCATCTTCTAGCTCTCTTTATCTAATGGATCCTTCCCAGTTTCCTACAAACAGGCCAGTCCCCCCTCCTTAAAAAAAACAAACACCTTACTTGATCCTACCATCCCCTGAAGATAGAATCCTATATCTCTTTTCCCTTTCACAGTTTAACTCCTAGAAGAATCTGTCTACACTCATTGCATGCACTTCCTAACCTCACATTTTTCAACTCCTGTGATTTGGCTTCTAACACCACCACTAAACTGCTCAATCTGAGAGGTTCTCTCAGTCTTCATCCCTCTTGACCTCTCTGCAGCTTTTAACACTGTTAACCAACATCCTGGGTGTTCTAGACACCTCGTTCTCCTACCCATGTAACCACTTCTCAGTCTCCCTTGCTGAACCATCATCTATGCTCTGCCCACTAAATGTTGGTGTCCTTCAAGGATCTGTCTTGGGCCTTCTTCTCTCTCTACATCCTCTCTCTTGGTGGTCTTATCAATTCCCAAGGGTTTATCATCTTTACATAAGACCATCAAGTCTACATATGTGTATTAGCTTCCTCCAGAATTCTAGTCCTCTATCACCAAATGTCTGTTGGACATCTCTACCTAGATGTCTCATCAGCATCTCAACATGTTTAGAATGGAACTCATAATCTATGACTTCCAAAAACTATCCTTCCTTTAAACTTTTCTTTCTCCATGAAGGCCACCATTGACCTCCCAGTCACTCAGGTTCGTAACCTTGGAGTCTCCTTGACTCTTCCCCACCCTGCCTCCATTTTACAGTTGCAAAGTGTCATCAATTCTGCTTCCACCATATCATTCTCCCTAATGACAGAGCCACCACCCTAGCTTAGGTGCTCATCACCTCTTACCCAGATTATTGAGATCACCTCCTAATTGGTCTCCTACTTCCATGGTCTCCCCTCTCCAGTCTCTTTATAAAATTGCCAAAATAATCTTCCTAAAACATGGGATCAGATCACACGATGTCCCTGCTAAGGAGTTTTTGGTGCCTTCCTATGGTTTCTACCATAAAATACAAATTCTTCCACTTGCTCTTTAAAGCCCTTCAGGAGATTGTGACTTGCCAGACATATTTTGTATAACTTCCTTTCATACATTCTACATCCAAGTTAAACTGGCTTTCTAGCTGTTCTCTTTCTTCCTCACCTCCACCTCTTTTAATTCTTAATTTCCTTCAACACTCAACTCAGATGGCACCTACTATGGGAAGCCTTTCCTGATTCCCTTAGTTCAGGGGTAGCAAACCTGTAGCCTCAAGGCCACATGTGGCCTTCTGGGTCCTCAAGTGCAGTCCTTTGACTGAATCCAAACAAATTTGGTGAAGTTTGGATTCAGTTGAAGGGCCGCACTTGAGGACCTAGAGGGCCACATGTGGCCTCAAGGCCACAAATTCCCCACCCCTGCCTTAATTGTTAGATTGCTTAGTCTCCTCAAGTTATCCTATATTTACTGGTTTGAGTATATCTTATAGTCCCCCACTAAAATGTTATCTTATCACCTCTTACCCCCAGTGGGGGCAGGTTGTTTTTTTTTTTAATTTTTATCTTTGTATTTCCAGTACTTAGCATAGTGTTTTACACAAGATAGATACTGAAAAAACATTTATTGTAGTTGCCATGATATATATTAGCTAGTAGCATTTATTCAGGCAACCAGGTGGCACAGTGGATAGAACATTGGGCTTAGAATCAGGAAGAATCATTCAACCTCAGACAATTACTAGCTATGTGACCTTAGACCCTTAACCCTGTTTGCCTCAATTTCCTCATCTGTAAAATGAGCTGAAGAAGGAAATGCCAAACCACTCCAGTATTTACCAAGAAAACTCCAAATGGGGTCACAAAGACTCTGAAGCTGCTGAATAAAGATAAGCATTAATTACTGACTTAAGTTCTGAACAACACTTTGCATACATTTGATATTATTATCCCATTTTACGAATGAGGAAACTGAGATTGACTGACTTGCCCAGGGTCACAGAGATAAGTATCAGAGACAGTATTTGAACTCAGGTTTTTCTGACTGCAGGTCTAGCACTCTACCTATTAAGTCACCTTGCTGCTTGGAATTCACTCAGATTTAAGGTAGGATGGGATATGGAGAATAGCAGTTTTGTTCCTGAATTATTTGCACATGATTTTGAATGGGTGAAAGTTATTTTACAATTTCCTCTGCTTTAGCACCCATCCCCATTTAAAGGAAGGTTGCAAGTGATTGGGGTAGGTAGATGCGATGGAGGAAGCAGATGAGAAAATGTTTTGCTTTCTTTTGTTTTTTAATTTTACCTCTGAACTCAAGCCCTGATCTAGGCCTGACCCTGATCCTCAAACATTGTCCTCAGCTACTCTCTTATCAGCAATGTAAATAGACAGACTTTAAAAGAACAAAACTGATTATTAGCATGATTCCCCAGTCTAGGCCTCAGTGTCTTCCATTATAAAGTGAGTGTGCTGGAGCCAGCTTGTATTGACTCTTGAGAGCCGATTATTAAATTTTCAGTAGGAATGGAAATTGTCAAATGCTACAAATCCTGGCTTGATTTATTATTCTCTTGACTTTCTAGACTTTAAAAAGTTATGAAGAAAATGTTAATAATGCAAATTAAATTTAAAAGTGTGTTGTACTTTCTTTTTCCCCCCAGAGAGTCGGTTGTTAAACATTTACCAACACATCACTAGACTAAGGAGTATTCTCTTAGATCCTATTTAGCTCTAAATCTATGCTCCGCTGAGAACTTCTTGCTTTCATAGTCTAGTTTTGAGATCTCATTCTATGACCTAAGGTCCTTTTTCAGGTATTCTATATTTTAACATTCAGTCCAATTGATCCCAAAAAACATATATTAAGTACCAACTGTACGCAAAGCACTGTGTTAAGTACTTTGTTGTTGTTGTTGTTGTTTCAGTCATGCCTGACTCTTTGTGACTCCATTTGGGGTTTTCTTAGCAAAGATACTGGAGTGGTTTGCCATTTCCTTCTCCAGCTCATTTTTCAGATGAGGAAACTGAGGCAAATAGGGTTAAGTGAAGTGTCTAAGGCCAGATTTGAACTCAGGAAGATG